TTACAAAATAAAGCTGGTCAAAAATTTTTCACACGCGCTTTGCATCTTAGAATTCTTGTTCAAATTTGTTCACCTGTTCACGCTGACACGTTGTAATGCAGTTTATAGCATGAAAGTTTACTTTAAATGGACTTTCATAGATTGAATTTCAGAAAAAAATCAAAGAGGGGGAACTGGAAAAGAGCACAAAATTTTACATGTAAAAATTCGCAGATGATGGAAGGAAAAAGAGCCGTTAAGGCGACCAAGGGAACGGAATCCATTAACACGAATAGATTCTATTCTATTTCTCAAATCTGTTTAACACCAATTTGTTTGATTTTTTTGACAGAGGGGGGATGAAGTTATTTTTAATGGCAGCCGTTTTGATAATTTTGAGTTCTGTCGAAACCAGAATAAGCATAATTAGCAAAATTTTGGCATGAAGCTGTTTTTGAGCATTTTGTTGAAAGTTTGTCAGGAAAAAAATAGTACCAAAAAGAAGACCCTTCAGAAAAAAATTGGTAACCAGAACTAAAAAGAACGTCAACAACACCCCTTCGCCCACTGACTTCGCGGCACGCAATTTTAAGAACATAGAATATAGCAAGCACATGCTACGCGCTCTTTGTAGCAATTTGAAGATGAGAAAACCGTTTTTACTGGAGAAGAGCTTTACAATTGGCTGATGGTGGTGCTTATAGTCAGTTTTTGACAGAGTCTGTTTAAACGATTTCAACTCAGATCCACTAACAATGCCACACAGCAACACATCAATCAAAAAAGTATTGATATGGAAACCGAAGTTAAAATTAATTTCGACAAGTATTTCGAAAATAGGCTCAAGGTAATTTTTCTGTTTTATAAGCCTTAATTTTTTTATTTGCGTTCAGTAGTCTGGTTTTTTTTAATATCAGCTGAAAAAAAATTGAAGAGATTTTACTTTTTGTAATTTGTGTGGCTCTGAGTATGTTCGTCCCTCGTCGAGTTTGGTAACTTGTTTTTCTTGGTATTTTTCCGCTGCTGCCGTTGGTTATTCTGTTCTCTTTGTCGTTATTGGTTACTGTTTTTTAAGGATTGGCTGCTGCTTCTCTGGCTGGTTGCTCATTTGTTCGTCCGAAAGTGAAAAGTCACTCTTTGTTTCTATTTGACACGTGACTTCCTTAAGGAGTTTCGCATCGGAACAGTTTAAGAAGAAGACCATGTCTGGGCTCCTTCTGCTTTCCCCCAACGGCTCTTTTTCCTTTTCCCCCCTACCCCACACAAGCATCAATTTTATGGTCTAACGAGTGGTTTCAAAAGGTTTATTATGAAGACCATATATAATGGTCCCTCCCCCACGGTTGGTCCTGCCCTGAGCAGGCCGGGGGCTAATAATTAAAAAAACCAAATATGTTTGTCATGGTCTAATTTCTCTGCATGTCAAATTTCATGTCAATCGGACAATGTGAACAAAAATTTTAATTATAAAAAATTGCAGGTGGGAAAAGGAAAAAGAACCCCCCCCCCCACCTCACATGAGCATCATTTTATGGCGTAAAGATCAATCCTACGAGGTTGAATGTGAACTCCTTTATGTTTGTCATGGCCTAATTAGTCAGCGAGTCATTTTCATAACAAAACTGAAAAAGTGAACCATAATGTTCCTTGTAAAATATGCAGGCGAGGAGAGGAAAAAAGCTCGTGTCGGCTCATATACCCACTACGAGGCCAAACTGTGCATTTTGTGATTTGTGAGTGATTTCTGCAAAAGGCTAAAATCATATCTGTGGCGCATTCCGCAACGTTGCTACTTTTCTTTGATATTCTTTGCTGCTTTGTTTCTTGAAGCGAAAAGCTAAAGAAGACTGTACAGCTCAAAACTTTTCCAAAAACAAGCAAATTTGCGGAATCCGATAAAAAGTTTTAAATTATGTGAATAGTAAAATTGCGCTGTTGTGGAATCTTCAACAGTAAGCGGAATCCGCATTTTGCTTGCGGATTCCAGTAACATATATAGTAGCGTTTTAAATTAATTCTTTTCTTTACCAGGTGGTAACCAGCGAGTTCAATCTCAATTACTACTATTAGTTGGGTCTAATTTTTGCCATTTTACCTTCAAAAGTTTGATCTCCGTTTCTGCCAATTAACTTACCCCCAAAATCCAGCTAACTGAAAAAACGGAAGTTAGCTAATTCATCAGTTCATTTCAATTTCAATTCATTTTAATTTCTTTCAATTTAGAATCAAAAACTTTGTTTCTTTTTAGCCCCAATCGCAGTTTTTCATATTGTAAGAGATAAAGATTAAGGATAAGAGCAGTTCAATTTCAGATGGGGACAGATAAAAACAAACCAGAACCGATTTTTACCAGGACGGACAAGAACTATTCGGTGATGTGTTGAGTGCTATGTTTCCGAACATTCTCAACTCACTAAGCCCAAATAACTTTGGTCATTGTGAGTATCCCAAAAACTGCTTGCTGGAAAATTTATTACAAATACTAAAGCGCACATCCACCAATTTAGTCAACTAATGATAAAGTTCTTGGATTTGCTGACAATGGTTAAGTCCTTGCTTTTGTATTCACGTTTGCTTGATAAAAGTTTCAGCTCTAGTTTTTAATTGTTCATATGCAAGAACTGGTTTAATACAAAGTTGAGGCATCTACTAACAATTTGATGAGTCCGCTTACAGAAATTGAAAATTCAAAAATTTCCACTTCAGCTGTTTGTAAGCGGAACCCACTGAAATTTTGTAAATGGAATCCACTTACTTTTTGGAACATGTTGAAAGTTTTGTCAGTGGATTCAAATGGCCTAGAGACGCCAAAATGTGCTCCTATCTAGTGCATAACTTGGCCTCAATATTTGATTATTTAATTTTTAGGCTCTATCCTTGCAGCCCCTCTGGCTTTGTTCCACTCCCCCATTTTGAAATCATTAAAAAAAGTCATTTTAACGATGTCATAAGGCAACGATCGTAAGCTCATGAACAAATTAACTATTGTGAATACACTTGTTCCTCATTCTCTAGATTGTAACACCATGCATTTAGCTCAAATAACAGAAAACGCAACTGAGATAATGGAAAATGGGAAATGTGCATGGAAAAAAAAAGTGCCGCTCCTCTCCTCAATTTTATAACAAAAGAAGCAGGCGCAGTTCTGGGATTTATTTTCACGTGAAGGGGAGGGGTTTCACGGGGGCGGACGGCTTTTCAAAAAATGTGGAATACAATTTTGTCTACTTTTTAGATCGACCAAATTGAATTTCCGAGCTTTGCCAAATTATTAAACAGACTCAATTTAGGCAAAAAAACTGGCACCGCAGACAAGGTTTTGAAAGAAAGGCCAAGCGAAGCGTATTTAGGCAACTTTTCGGACAGTTTTGAAGAATTACGTTTTTTTTCGGCACGCGCGCTTGTCGTCAACTTTAGTATATTTTGGCACCGTATATTTTGGCATTTAGAAAAATTTCAGGATTAACCAGCCAAAAATGGAGGTCATAAAGTAGTACTAAAATGAAGGAAAAGAAAGGAGAGGAATCCGCAATCCCCCCCTCACCCGCAATCACCCTCTAAATCCGCACCTGGTTGTAACGTAACGTATACCTGTTCAAGTAAACCACGATAACGTTGAGAGGCCATGTTCACTGTTTAAAAATCAATTCCAAAAGGGCTCTAAGAATTATTATCATGCCATGTGATTCCATTCACGAAAATCAGAGCGTTACGTTTTGCCAATAAACAAAATGTAAAATCAAAACATTCTCGGAAAAACTGGGATTGTTTTGGCTGAGCTATAACATATAGTAATTTAAAAAAAAAACTCATGTCAAAATTCATTTTGGAACAATTTCTGGTGCGGATGAATTATTATCCCAAATTTTTACGTTTCAGCTCAGGGCATCAATTATTTTTATATGATACAAAAAAAATTGGAATTTGTCTGGAGAACAAGAACATCCCGAGCACGAAATTTCCATCTAAGAAAAATTGAATAACTACAAATTTTCATTTTACTATCAATATATTTATATGTTAAATTATGAGATGAAAAATTTCTAATTAAAATCCAACATTTTGAATTCAAAAGTATTTGAATTGCTCGAACAAGTCTCGATTTGACAACAAAGTACACAATTTAATGGTGTCAATTAATTTTACTTTTCCGCGGAAAAAGCAAACAATCTAAGTTTTGGCGACAAAATTGATAATTTTTTGGTGCAAATAGACATGCACCAAAAAGTTGCTTTAAATTTCTTTTTTTTTCAAATCTTAAACAGTTTCCAAAAAATATAAATTGATGCCAAATATTTAATAATTTTCTAGAATAATTTTAAGTAACTTTTCATTTTATTTTTTTTAAATGGACATCACTGTACATTTCTATACATTCAATGGCAGCAGTTTCCGAAACGACCTTGGACTAATGAGCCGAGGTCCGCAACGTGTGTCTCGATTGTCGCGATTCATAAATGTTTGATCGCTTCTGCTGCAACCCAACAGTAAACGGAGCTAACATGTGATCAACATTTCTCCTCAAAGTTTTTTTCTCAATCCTTCAAGTAAGCTTTCCTTTGTATAATTTCTTCGCGCGAAACTAAAAAAAAACACAAAGTAAATTACTTTGGAAGAGTTTATAGCAGTTTTTGCACGCCCTAAGTTTCGACTGAGCTCGACTAACGTTGATGCCGTGGTAATTTCTGACGGCGTTTAGCCAGCACAAAAGTAAAGGTAAGAATCGTTGGTAAAGAAATGCATTGTAGCGAAAACTTACTTTCCTTAATTGTATTTCCAAATATTGCGTGGATTTTGAAAGGTAACAGCTATAAAAAATGAGATTAACACACCACCTCAGCTCGGGAAATAATTTCTTTGCACACTTGGGAAAAGTAGTGTTGAAGAATTTGATTCAATTTGGATTTTATAAGAAAGACACAATGTTGTTTCAATTTTTTTTCACTATAAAGAGACATCTCACTTAAAAACTTCTCAATTAACAACACAAAATGATATAAATTATGAGAAAATTTAGCATGATCCAATTTGTACTGTTTTGCGGCATAGGAAAAATTAGCTAGATTCTTTTTATCTACATAGTTTTTGAGTTTAGGAACATAAGACATCATTATCTTTCATGGTGGGCAACTCGGGCATTGTACTCCAAAGTGAAACTTAGTTCACGTGTTGTTTGTTATTCTCCGTTGTGCTCCAAGTCACTGAAACAAACACACGTATAGGCTTCAAGCGGCCTATTTCTATAATAATTTAGAGAATGAGCTTAATAATAAATTTTGCTCTAAAATGAGAATTTCAATTGATTTTAGGACAAAAACTGTCTGAAATACTGGCACTTGCATGCGCAATGTTTTCAAATGAAAAATATAAAAATGCATAATATGAAATTGGATCGATGTTACAGTTACACAGAGCACTGGGTATTGTTCAGCGCGTTTAATCAACTTGGATCCAAGCAAAGCTGCGATAAAGTATTAATGAATAAGGAGGGCCGGTTTCTGTGCAAGTGACACAGAATTTTCCGACCATAGTTTAAAAAAACACATGTTGTGTCATGAAAAAACGTGAACGAAAAATAAACAAAATTTAGGCATATTCGACAGTCATAGAAAACTAGGCCGATTGGAAAACAGTGTTTCTAGTAGAATGACTAAGAAAAACGAAAAAAAGTCGTGACAAAAATCAAATAAATAATTTCAAAATTTTTCAATTTTTGCAGAAAATTTTTGAATCATTTTTGAGTTTTTGATTCCTAAAACGGTGCTTAAAAAGTCCATTTACCAAATTACTTGAGTAAAAATATATTTTCGCGGCTTAAAACATGCTTAGATAATTTATTGTAAGCTCGGACGCTCACCTTATTAGCTCAAAATAAGAACAGAAATCCAAAAATTTCAGACCGTTCGTTCTCGAAACGGTTCTGTTAATGTTGTTCGACTGAAATGGTTTTAATAAGATATGTCGCTCGACTCAGTCTGATTATTATTTGTGGAATCTGATTTTGTGTGGAAAACAAAAAAAGGTAAAAAAAAACAGGAAAAAAATTAAGCTAGACCAAACTGGGAACAATTCAATGACAAGTCTTTAAACATGTTAAAAATTTGTCTGAACGATCAAAGAAAGCGAAAGAAGGTGTCATGAGGCGACCTTTGGTACCTCGCTTATAACTTGTCTTTTCGCAGTTATGTTACGGATTTATTACCAGTTCTATTTCAAGGTCACTGAATTGGCCTATTCTGAGTGCCATGCTGTGCGTGGTCACTCTGTTGTTTTGCTACATCTTTTGTTAGATTTTTATTCATTCCGTTCTATCACTCTATATTCTCTTGGTCAAAGATTGACTAACAAATATTAAATTGGAACCAAGTATCTAACAACTAATCTATCAATTCACTTTTATGAAACAACCAAGTTTTGACGCACTTATTCTCGGCAAATGTCAGAAGGATGATCAAAGATCCTTTTTGCGGAATCCGCTTACAATTCACAAAATACACAGTTTGGCCTCGTAATGAAACAGCTAAAAAACAGTACAAAATCCCTGAATACAAAATCCCCCCCTCTCTAATTTTTCAAATGATCAGAACAAAACCGCATTTGGTTTCATACTTGCGATATTTGATTGAAATAATTCAACTATGACTGTCTAAGTTCCTGATTTTCTTTAAGATCCTTTTATCTCACCACGTACAAAAAAAATGACACTAGTCTGAAAAAAATATTGATTATGTTTTTTACAGGAATATACTCGGAACATTCTTTACTACTTGTTTTTTTTTTTCGTTTCTTAGAGGAGGTCTAACCACCAGCGGATTTATGAATTTATGCACCCGCCCTTCCCTCAGGGATTCGACCCCCTGACTACCCAAAAGTTCCCACCTTTGATACTATTTTAAGAACTCCAGTTTTAGCTGACTGACCCTAAAATTTTTCTAAAAGCGCCTTGGGCGCAATTGTATACTAGTTTTGAGGGGGGAATACGATTTTTTGGTCAAAAGTGTTCAACAAGAGCCTAAAAACGCCTTTTTTGGACTGTTTTTCAAAAATTAGCCTGCATAGTGTTTTGGAAGAGCTCAGAAAATTAATTTGGCCAATTACAAAAAAAAATACAAGCAAAAAGACCCACAAAAGTCAACGAGTCTTTTGTTATTTGTTACCTCTCGTTGTAAGTGCATGATGAAAAGTTATCAAGTGAGGCGACAGTTGGGGGGACACTATACGGCAAGGGGGGCTGTGGTGGTGGCTGGCTGTAGTCCCCCCTTGTCCCTGTCGTTTTCCACAGAATGAGGAAGGCCACAGAGAGCACAGTTAGACAGAGGATTGTCAACACACATGCGACCAAGATGTAACTAAAACATGAACCATGTGTTGCTAAAATAAAATTAAAAAAAAAAACATGATGTTCCCAGTTTGAGAAAACCCTGCTAAACATGCAATAACGCTCTCAACTATCCGACAAATTAAAGAAAATTCGAAAATCTACCTTATTTTACAATTTTGCTTATAAAATAATATTTTTTGCTAGCAAAATCCATTTCCAAAACTTTTTTCAACATTTTGCCGACAAAATGTTGGAAAAACTTATTCCTCTCAGCTTAAAACGCTTTTTTTGGTCAAAGCCTGATAAAAAGCGCGAAATGAATAATCTCGGATAAAAAGCTTCAAATCTTGTGTCTTATTAAAACTTCTTTGATGGAAGTCTTCAAATCAGTCGTGTCAAAGCAGGGAAGCCTGCTCTATTTGCTGAACTTTACCAAAGTATCCTCCATCTGGATCATTCAAATCAGCAGTCGATTATCTGGATCATTTAAATTCAATCGATTGCACATATCATGCGGTGATATTTCAATCATCAATTTTAATTCAATTTTTTGATAAAAAAGGTAATTTGAAGGGCTATCTATGATTCTTAGCTTTTTAATGAGTAGTTTGAGTTCAAAAATTGAGGTTTCTTCCAAAATTTATAGTATTTTTTGTTGTCAAAATCCATAAACATTGTTGGGGGAGTTCGGAAAAATATGTTGATCAATTTCAATTTTTGTGCGCGTCAATCTCCACACTTCGTGATAAAATTTGTTTTCAAACACTTGAATTATAACGAGTATTTTATCGGGAAAATAACGATATTTTTAACAAGCTTTTTTATTGTTAACATCGGTAACATCGGCCACACAAAACTGCATAACTCAAAGCAAGCTGCAAAAATGGCCAGTATTTGTCCTTGAGACAAATTGCTCTTTTTAAAGGTCAGCCTTAATCAAGGCTGAACTAAATTAGAGCAAAAAGACGGTTAAAATAGGTTTTTGGGGGATCTAACCTGGTTACGGAGCACCCCATCAAGTTCGGTGCATATTCGAGTTCTAGAAAGGAAATGACCTAGGCGGGATTCGAACCGGCGCCGAACCCGCCGGGACGCACCATGTATACGCTCGGCTACTGTCCCTATATGCATTTACATTTTGGTTCAACTTTATATGCATTTATACTCTTGTTTTATATTTGCGCTGCAACATCCTCCACCCCTAAACAAGGAAGAACGGGAGCGAGCTTTACGGTCGGGCCGGTCAGTTCGCTCGTAACGGTCTTTATGTCGGCGGATCTCGCGCATCCGTCCTTGCCATAGTGCAGTTTTAGGATATGTGCGAGTGGATAATGTCCACGTGGAGTGTCAGGCTCTATGACCCAAACCAAGTCGCCGGCTTTCAACTTAACGTCTGACTGGTTGTGCCACTTTGCCCTCCTATTGAGGGAAGGAACGTATTCCCGCATCCACCGTGTCCATATTGCATTAGCGTATGATTGTGCTCTGGCGAACCGCTTCTTATGGTCGAAGTTTTCTTCGAAACTTAGCGACGGAAAACTCGCTGCGTGTTGACCATGGATAAAATGATTCGGGGTCAACGCCTCTAAATCTAGTGGATCGGAACTAACGGCTGTTATCGGTCTAGCGTTGAGTGATTGCTCAACAAGGCACAGCCTGGTTCTTAGAGCCTCCTCAGTTACTCTTATGTTGCCTAAGATGTCATACAAAACGCGCTTGACACTCCGAACTAATTGCTCCCAGGACCCACCATGGTGCGGTCCGCTGGGTGGATTGAATTTCCACTTGATCCCTTTCTGAACAAAAACAGCGGGTGCTAGCTTGTTCCAACTCTCAACGCAAGCTATGAGCTCTTTCTGAGCGCCGACAAAGTTCATGCCGTTGTCGGACATTATGGTAGTCGGAGTACCGCGACGTGCGATAAACCTCTCCACGCCCATCACACAAGAGCTTGTGTCGAGCGAGGGGACCACTTCAATGTGAACCGCTCTAGTGGCAAGACAGGTGAACAAAAAACCCCACCTCTTTTCCGTACTTCTCCGGATTGGAACTAGGAACGGCCCAAAGTAGTCGACACCTGTGTTAGAGAAAGGAGGTTGCGTGTAACCCAGCCTTTCAATGGGCAGATCAGCCATCATCAGATTTACGGTTTGCGCTTTGCGTTTTCGGCACACAACGCAATTATTTTCAATGCTTTGCAGCAACCATCGTAAATTTAACACAACTTACCTCAAATTAACCACCGCACGCATGTAATCCAAGCCTTGATGGAATTCCTAACGTGCAAATGCTGAACCAATAACCGAATAACCACGTGACGTGCATCAAGTATAATCGGATGCCTGCAATCGAAATCGGAAATAACCAGCGGCTGATGCGCCCAGTCGAGCGAAGGATGCCAGATGGTCCAATGAACGGCGAGTACTTGGCGATCCGACTATTCCTCGTGATAACTTTACCGGATCTTAGTAGTTTTAGCTCACTAGGGAATGTTTCACCCTGGGACAGGTAAATGAGCTTCTGTTCAGCAATATCCATTTCAGACGGGTCTGTAATTTCTAATATACTCGACCGGAAATGCTTATGGGATGGCAGCCATCTTAACAAAAATGCCACTGCCCGTTTGTATTTTACAATTGAATTGAATCTCTCCCATTTTCCGAAGGGAAAATTTTTTTCTGTCAAAACATCGACGACCAAATTTGACGAATTTTCCAGACAAATGTCGATATCACATGATGGTGCTTTGAGTCTGATTTTATCGATAACCTTTGTATCCGGCTTGAACGGCCAATCAGTTGTTCTCAATATACTAGGGCCATTAATCCAGCTGCTTTCCTTGAGGGCTTCCGAAAAAATCCTTCGTGTACCGGTATCAGCTGGGTTATCACCGCTAAGTATGTGATGCCACTGATCAGTGCTGGTAGACTCCAGAATCTCACCAGTGCGATTACCAACAAAAACGGGTAGTTTACTACAAGAGTGAAGCCACTGAAGGCCAGTGGTACTATCTGTCCACATGAAAATTTCTTTTTTTTTAAGCGGGTTGCAAGAAGAGCCGCTTGAAGCTCTAACTTTGGAATAGAAAGCGCTTTCATAGGCGCGACGCGGGCTTTGCCAAACACAAAGGCTAATTCGGTCTGATGGGAGCTAACAAGTTGCGCACGAAGGAAAGTGACGGCACAGAAAACATCCTGCGAACTATCACCGAACATGTGAAGTTCTATTCGGTCAAAAGGTTCAGTGAAATAGCTGCGAGGTATTGTCAGAGAACCTAACAAATGAAGGCCTGAGTGCCACTCAAGAATTGCTTTTTGATTTCCTCTGGCAGATCATCATCCCATTTTTGACCGCTGATTCGCCAGATATCTTTTAATAGAAGGCGAGCCTTCACGGTATACGGAGCCACTAACCCAATTGGATCAAAAACAGAAGAAACAAAACTCAACACGGTACGCTGAGTGATTGCTTTGCATAGTGGACGATCAACCCCTCTACTAACGACTAAGGTATCTTTGACGTGATCCCACTTAAGACCAACAACATGCGACGACTGGTCTGGGATCGCACAAATATCTTTAACAGACGAATTGGACTCACGGTTGTCCGGATCAAGAGCGGTTGTTACGTCGGGCACGTTGCTGACAAATTTTGTCAGACGAAACCCAGCTAGTTTAAGCAACGAGATTAAATCCCTACCTAATTTCAAGGCGTCATCCCTGTTTTGAAAAGAGTCCAGATAATCATCAATATATAAAATTTCTGGACAACAGCCGAAGCAGCTTCGGGGTACTCAGCTTGATTATCCGATGCAGTCTTCTGCAAAGCAAAATTCGCACAAGTCGGCGAGTCACGAGCACCAAAAATGTGACGCGTATGTTGGTGAACTACCACACTTGATGTGGGGTCCTCCTGCCACAAAAAACGAAGAGAAGGTTGACCTTCTTCACGGACTCCAACCTGTAAAAACATCCCTTCAATGTCAGCTGAAATGGCGTATTTATGCAGACGGAATCTTAAAAGTACAAAAATGAGGCTTTGAAGGAGATCCGGGCCAACCAACAGAGATTTGTTCAAGGAAGCGCCATGACACTTTGATGCCCCATTGAGGACTCGGCGCACCTTACCGGGTTTATTCGGGTTCAACACCGGGTGATGCGGGAGATACCACTCACGATCGGCTCGTGATTTGGGATCGTGTGCCTTAACGGCTAGGACATATCCTTTTTGTATATCCTCTCTTATTGTTTCGGCGTATTTTTCACGGAGTGACGGATCCTTATCTAGCCTCTTTTCCAAAGACTTTAATTGAGCTAAGGAGGAAAAATAGTTATTCGGTAAACTACTTTCTTTATCGTTCCAAAGCATTGGTACAATGTACCTCTCACCATCGTGAAAGGTGTCATTTTTCAAAACGGACAAAGCGCGTTTGTCGGCGGCGGAACGGGCATCTACCTGCTTGAAGGCTCCATATGACTCCAACTCGTACCAAGTTTTAATTTGGTCCGCAAGAGACATGTCTTCGACAATACACTTAAAGCAAGACGAGTTCGACTTAAAGGACGGCAGTAACGGACCACTTAAAACCCAACCTATCGGAAGGCGTACGGCGCACGGTGAAATAGAGTCCTCCCCCAGAAGGTACTCAACGGGTCTTATGGCATGGTAGAAATCCTGTCCAATAATAATTTCGACGTCCTCATACTTATAATGTCTAGGTTTGATCGGAGCCAACTGCGGGTATTTTTCCTGTAATTCAGGAATGCTTATGCTATCCGATCCAATACGAATATGATCCTTAACATAAGCTCGAAAAGAAAACGAAAATTCACTATTATTCGTTTCGGTGGAAACTTGAAAACTTACTTGCTCAGTTTTCATCAAGCTCGTGGAATTGAATCCATTTATGGTGAGGTTAACGGGAATGCCAACCAAATGGAGGCGTTTTACGAGATCGGCGGATACCCATGAGTGCGTGGAAGCCTTATCGCAAAGAGCTAGGTCATTAGTAATCGTCGCATCCGAAGA